CCGCCTCCCGCCCGTCGCCCCGCCTCCCGCCCGTCGTCCCGCCTCTTGCCGGTGGCCCCTGGTTTACAAAGCGAGTTCCTAGGCAGCCAGGGCTACAGAGAAACCTTTCTGTCTCGAAAAAAAACGAAAGGAAAAAGGATTAGAGGGAGAAATTGCAGATGTGTTGAACAGATTACACTACACAGATTCGTCATCTATCTCTGAAAATAATAGCAAGAATAATGTCTTCTTTTTTCGAGTATGTGGAAATCATTTATGAAGTATTGCAGATAAATAATCTGCATAAATATATACACGTATACGCATTAGCAAAGCGACTTATTAAGGAAAAACGGCTACTTCAGTCTCATGCAAAATTAAAGTAATGGCCCAGATTGGAAAACAACATTAAACCGATGTTCTAAGGACTATCTTGTACCACTTCTGGGTCGCCTAGAGTCAAGTAGTTGTAATTTAGCTGATCTATATCCTGAGAAGACAAATGTCCTTTAAAAGCAAATAAATAATGAGTGAATGGATGAGGATTTAAGAGCTGTCTCTGTGGTCAAGAGTGCTTGCAGCACTTTCAGAGCAAAGTTCCGTTCCCAGCATCCAAACCTCACCTCACAACCGTCTGTAGCTCTAGTTCCAGGGCATCCACCGCGCTCTTCCGACCTCAGCCGGCACCAGGCATGCACGTGATGCATACACGCAAACAAAACACTCACACCTATAAAGTAATTTTCTTTTAATTGGAGATTGTTTTAGAATGATGGGGTTGTGCTCTGGGCTGCGCCGACATCTGCCGAGCTTGCCGGCCAGATCCGCCAGGAGGCAGCAGAGGTGCTGCAAACCTAACAGGCCAGAAATGTATTTATTAATCCTATTCTCCAATGGAAAGGGGCAGAATCCAGGCAACTTGTACTTTGTACAACAGCAACGACTAGATAAACCTCGAAGAGGAGTCAACTGATCCTAGAAACTGAAATAGTCTTTCTCCTATATTGGAAACAATTTTGGCACTGTTGTCCTCAAATGCAACGGGGTACTTTGTGGGTATTTTGAATAAAAGCTGTGGCCAAATAGAAGTAAGCATATGATGCTGAATTGTTCAACGTGCAGACACTTTTTGCTGTATAAGCAGTTGAGAGGGAGTCTAGAGAGTCATATAAAATGTTCAGGATTAAAAAAAAATGGACTTTTGCTTTGAAACCTTGGGAACCAGTAAGCATAAACAATTTCTAAACTCCAGGAGAATAAACAAATTTGACAGTAAATCTTTGAGTCTCCCAGCTCCTAAAGACAAAGAGAGCATCACTAATACAGGGGTTTAAACGTTCTGATCAATGACGACGGCCATGGTGACTAGGAAGTTTGACTCCCCCCCACCTCCCGGTGCTATGCTGATGAAAGAAAACCTGAAGGCTTCTACACAAGCAAAAATACTCTGTCCCCCTCAGAGTGTGAAGCTCTTGAAAGTCCGTGTGAAACTTTCAGAAAGGTCACGCACTGAAAATGATTGACCAGGACAGCCACTACCATTTTGTCATCAAAATGCTGAGGTCGGCCAGTGAGTGAGGAGAGTGGAGACCACCAGGAAGAATTCAGCTGGTGTCTCGAGACCTCACCAAGCTTACAGCTCAGAAAGCCACAAAGTGGGGAAATGCCCCGGGACCTGGAATCCTCCACATCATCAAAGCCAACCAGCTGGAGCGCTGTTCCTGCCTGACTTACAGGAATGTCAGCTCACAGAGGTTAGTTTTGAACTCTGGGACGACAACAGTCGTTGTCTATATGATCATACCTGCCTTGCACATAAGTGATTCTGAGATGTTCCTGATGTCTCACAGGGGAAATGCCACACTATGTCCTATGCTTGGATCATCTTTAGATATCTGTCAATTCAAAATGACTATAGAAAACCATAAATGATGAAAATGCCAAACTTTATCTTATATAGGTAGTACATAAAAATAAGAGCTTATGTAAAAGAGGAAATACAAAGAAAAACTGCCAACAAAGATATGGGGCAGAAATGAAACATTGATGAAATGCTGAAACAGGAAAAACTTTCCTTATATTTAAAAATACACTAATGTTTGCGAAATAGAATCTGATTCTGGCACACATCCGAAGTTAGAATAAAATTTCACGAATTCTATGGCCAGTGAAGGACTGTATTTATCTAGGAATGGTTATAAAGAACAAGGATTTATAATCACTAGCTCAGATTAAAACTCATCCACCATCAGGCATTTAACAGCTTACAGAAACTTGGGAGGTATCCCATCCAGAGGGACATAAACGGGGGTCCCTGATAAACCTGGAGGAGAGGAATAGAAGGGCAAGAGACACGAGAAATGACAGTAAGTCTAGCTTTCTTAACAAGCTGCCCACTTTATTATTCCTCAGAAGCTGTTATATAGCAAACAGGCAAGGGGGAGGGGAGGTAGGATGCTGGAATTTAGGTCTGGAGACACCCCTAGCTGATAAGGAAATACTGAGGTCTGTGATTGTTAACTAACATAGGAAATGCTAGCTGCTTCTAAAGCCTGGGGCTTGCAGGTCTTGCAGGGAGACAAGATACAAGGTTAATTTCCTAGGCCCAGAACTTATCCTGACAAAGGTGGATATTTTACTTAACTTGTGAGCTTAAGAGGGCAATAAACAAAATACAGATCTCAAAATACAGGTCTTTGCTTAGGGCAGGGAGGAATGGTAAAGCCATGTGTTGGGAGGGAGGTCGGGAGGGAGGAGACCCATGCTCAAAGACATGGTGTGAAGTTAAGCCACTGTTTCTACAGTCATGAAGCAAATTGAAAATTAGGAACCTGATAATAATGCCAGTCTCTAAGACCGTATAGGCAATGCAATCAGGAAGCCACCGCAATTACAAAACTGCCCCCTCAGGGAAGCCTCCACAAATAACACAACAGTGAACACCAAGCTGCTTATTGCATCTGAGTTGGTGCCACATCACACCTAACATGATACACACCAGCACAACCGATGGCCCCTGGCTAAACAGTCAACATCTGTGAAGCTAGAGATCGCACACTGTACCATCCCATCACATTACCATGGAGAAGTCGGATACTTATGAGCCATTCCTGCCTTTTCTTTGGTGACGGGAGAATTCTCATTGAGCTTCACCTAGTCTGACTCCGAGTGCTAGCACTGAGCCTTAAACCCACCTTTTGTTTCTCTTGTTGCCCTCCATGTGAAGCTTGTCTGAACGTTTCCCAAGGGTACATAGTCTAGGCAAAAAAAAAAAAAAAGGTTTAGAAAAATTGGGGCACATTATGATATTCCTTAATAAAGAATTTGCATTTGGCATTGTCCCTTTGGAAGCTATGGAAATCAGCTTGCTAAAAATGTAGGTTGGAGAACAATAAAGAAACCTGGCTCGGTCCACAGTCTCCGGCCCCAAAGAGGCTGAGTCTCCCTGCAGCTGGGAAGACTAAAATCATCCTTGATGTGCCTCTGGACTTCTTCCTATGGACAGGTGTGAATGCCCACACCCGCCATCCACCACACTTCGGTGAAAAGAATCCAAAGGAAGCTTAAGAATTGATTCTGCTTCTCTTTTGCCTTGCCAATCATATTGACTCATCCCAATTCTACTTGGGAAACTTGCTGAAAAATGCAGAAATTTGTTTTCGGGGTTTTTTTGTTTGTTTGTTTGTTTGTTTTTCCCAATATTTTCAGCTTCTACAGTAAAGAATGACACATTAGGAAGGGTTTAAATAAATGTGAAGCATCAGTCTACTTTGTTTTCACCTGCAACACCAACTAAATAATCTTAAAAGAAAAGCATACGCTTAAATTTTGTATATATTGAGTCTGTAATGGCAGAATGAATTTTAAATAAATTTGACTAACGATATCATTATTAGGCTATCACCAGAGTACCTATTGTTCTGAATTCCTAGCTTCTGCTAAAGCTAACAGTAGCTTGTGATTGACGTAATTTGGGAACTGGTGTTCTATGTGTATGTTGGCCTCTGTTAGACTTTTCCCCAGTGTGACAAAACACCTGGGAAAACAACTTAGTGGGGGAAGGGCTGACTTTGCTCATGGTTTCAGAAGTCTCAGTCCATCATGAAAAGGAGGAGAGGATACGGCACAACCGAACACACACATACCATAGAGCCAGGGAGCAGAGAGAGAACTTGCCTAACTCACTAACCCTCCCCCTTCCCCCCTCTTATTCCATCTGGGTCCCGGGTGTGTGGGATGGCGCCACATACTTCCAGAGGGGATCTTGCCCTCTTAATCTTTTCTTTAAATTTTCTCATAGACATATCCAGAACTGTCCTTTGCTAATTTAGGTGTCCCACAAAAGACTGTCAATCAAGATTCACAACTTGAGTGTAACAGTATACATACCTTTGGTCCCATCAGAGACAGGCTGATCTTTGTGAGTTCCAGGCCAATCAAATTGGGGGAAAGGACCCATAAGCACCCAAACTATTACATTATAAAAATAGTGTGAGCATATAACAGGAAAAACTTTTACCAGTTAAAAGCAATTCTTCATGCAATACTAAAAATTCTAAGGCTAGAAAATTAAATTATTAAATAGTGTTTCTAGTATAACTTCAGAAGCAGTGATTTTACACCATTTTTTCTTTCTTTTTTTTTTTTTACTTCCGGAAAGCGTGTTCTGACAAGCTCATTATGTCAATAATTTTGGGTAAAGGGGGAGGAAAGAAACTCCATACTGAGCACCTATGAATCTCTAGGATTCTATTACTACAATTTTCATGTACTCTATTGAAAACACTTTTATCCTATTAGTATCAATAAAAAACTGACGGGAAACTCATTCATCTTGTTAAAATTACAGTTTTTTTCCAGTTATGTATTGTAAACATAAAATATGTGTGTATGCATATATCTGTTTGTGTGTGTGTGTGCACGTGCATGCATGTTTTTCAAGACAAGGTTTCTCTGTGTAGTTCTGGATGTCCTGGAATTCATTTGCATACAAAGCTGTTCTGAACTCAGCGATTCACCTGTCACTGCCTCCTGGGTGCTGGGATTAAAGGCGTGCATCACCACACCCGGCAACACAATTATATTCAATGCCAATACCTTTTAAATCTGCCAAATGAATTATGATAATTAATCAATAAATACTAAGGACCAGAAACTAAGAAGTTCTACATGAGGACTGGACATTTCTGGTCAGACTTGGGGTTTAAGCAATACTAGTAAGTAGATAGTAAAGTCATTAGACCTAGTAACAGAAAGATTTCACCAGGCTCTTGAGAGATGAGTAAGACATTACCAAATAGATAACAGAAAGGAGGGCACGTGAGCACACAGTACTGGGAGCTGTGAGGAGAAAGACCAACCGGCTTTGAGACATTAGGAACAATAACTACAGCGGAAGGTACTTGTTTGTGAAACACTTTGGTTGGATATGTTGCTAGTGCCACAAATATTTATGGTTCACTAAGAGTTGAAAAAAATCTCAAAAGCAGTGGGGATCTTTTAGACCCTTCCATCTTTAATATTCATTATATTAATATTAAAGATGGAAGGGACTTCATCGGTTTGTATTTCACATGAGCAAGTAAAGAAAAGTCATGGGGACTGCTCAGTACATTTGATCTATCTGTCATGGGATTTCTATGCAGTGGTACCAGCGTACAGTGGGGTTGGGAACCCTGACAGGTCTAACTAGCTGAAACGTTTAAGACATATTAAACATTAAGCTAATGCTTAAGTTTTCAGTTTTGAATTATTTGGGGGAGATGGTTGAAGAAGACATCTTTGGTTCTTGGTGTATTAAGGATTAATTTTACTTCCAAGTCAACAGACCAAAAGAACCTCATTGTTTGATGAACTAGGTTTTATGTTTTGCTTCCTTTTTTTAAAAGGCAAGAAAGGCATAGGTAAGCAGATGTTTACTTAGCAGAAATATTCCTGTCTAGGCCAACTGAGATGGTTTCGGAGGTTAAGGAACATGCTGCCAAGTCTAAGGGCTTGAGTTCATTAGATTCTAGAGCCCCACATTGTAAAAGGAACAAACCAATTCCCACAAATTGTCCTCCCCGCCCGCCACACAAGCATTGTAGCATGTGCACACTTGAGTCTGAGTGTGAGCTCACACACATGCACACGCACTTAGTAAATGGCAAAAAATAGTCCTTTCTTTTTTTTTTTCTAAAGGCTGTCTTTCTCTTTCCTATAAAACTCTATGGCCACGGCTAGGCCTAGCGATACAAACCTTAATCCCAGCACTTTGGAGGCAGAAGCAAGTAGATCTCCGTGAATTTGAAACCTGCCTGGTCTATAAAGTAGAATTTCAGGCCAGTCATGGCTACGAAATGAGACCCTGTTTTAAAACAAACAAACAAAATCTTTCTATAGATTCTATAAGTTCAATATAAGTATTTTTCTAATGAACACATTTTATTTAAGTAACATCTTTTAGAAATAAAGGCAGAGAGCAGAAAACGCTAATAAAATCTGGAAAGACCAAATGTGTCTTTGGTGTCTCTTCTCAAGCCCACAGCGCCTGCACCTGTTCCTTTCATCCTCAGATGATAATCTGCTGTTTATTTTGCTACCAGGAATCTAAGCAGATGAAGCTTGAAAAGAGGTTGCCTTTTAAAAGTTGCTCTGTGCCTGACCTTTCTTACTTCACAAAAAGTAAAGGGGGAAAAGTGTGTGTGTGTGTGTGTGTGTGTGTGTGTGTGTGTGTGTGTGTCCTGTTGGTGGAAGGGTTGGTGGTTAAAAAGCAAGTTGGGACTTCCTCTTTGAACAGTTGCCTTTCCTCTCACAAAACGGAGATTTCATTTTGTCTGAGGCTGGATAGAATTGAAAGCGACCCAAACACCAGAGCCACGGGCATGATGGCTAAGAAGCCCCCGAAACCAGCGCCCCGCAGGATCTTCCAGGAGAGGTTAAAGATCACCGCTCTGCCTCTGTACTTTGAAGGCTTTTTATTAGTCAAACGGTCTGATTACCAGGTAAGTCTGTAAACGGAAATTTTAAACACGAAAGTTTTCACTTAACACAAAACTTACTTCATGACAGTGCGATGTGATGAGGCCTCTGTGTCTCTGTTTGGCTTATACCCTCTTCCTTCAGTGAGAAGAATGATTCTAATTTTGATAGCTTAGATACAATTCACAGAATATATGTACGCATGCATATATGTATATGTCTGTGAGTGTGTGTGTGTGTGTGTGTGTGTATGTGAGTAGAAAGACCAAAGGGCTTGTATACACACACACACACACACACACACACACACACACACACACACACGCATATATATGTAAGTATGATAAGGTTCTACTATTTAGCCATAGTAGAAAAACTCAATGAAATTTTCAAATAATTGTTCTAAACATCACATAAGATTTTACATTTCAAGATAATTTTGTTTGTGTGTTCTCTCAGCCATTAACTACTATGCTACAGTGTGATAAATTACATGAAGATACGACGTGATCTCCTGAGTAAATTGGGAGCATGGGGACCATGGGAGAGGGTACAAGGGGAGGGGAGAGGAAGGGAGGGAAGCAGAGACAAATATATAGCTTGATATAAACAATAAAGAAGTACCCTTTGCTAGTGCAATTTAAAATTTTATGTTTTAAAATATATGGAATATTTTAAGAGTTTTCTGAAAGCAAAAGTGCCTTTTTTAAAACAAAATTAGTGTGTTTACTATTCATAATAATGCCCTAAATGCTCTTTTAGGGCCAGTATGGTGAACAGAATTTCCGGAATGCATAATGAAGCAATATTAAATAAATATCAAATTTTCATGATTTTATGAGTTTACCATTTCTTACAACTGACCGGTATACAGTTCCGTATGATTTAGAGCAGGACCAGGTTATTATTCATCTTAAAATCCCCTTATCATCTTCCTGTAACTTATCACCACTGACGCATAGTAGTTAAGTGCTGAGTTTCCTACTTCCCATGTAGTTTAGATACACATTTATCTCTCTTGGTGTCCTCATTTTCTGGTGTCTCTGCTTTTAAAGTTGTAATTGTGGACAACATAAAATTAATTAGAGAAATGAAAATGCTACTAAAAGTAAAGAAAGTCATTGGTGTAGGTAGAATTTTATGAAATGTTAATATTGGCTGAAGTTGACGAAGTTTTAAATGTTTACAGAAATAACAAGCATTCAACGATGATAAGTCAAGGCTTCAGATGATTAATTAACATTCATGAAAAATTATGAATTTGAAAATACTGTAACAGTATATTCATATTTTCTATGTACATGGTAAAGATATTGCCATTTGAAAGTCTGGTTGAGATTTTTGTTGTAGGTGTTAAACATCTCTTGGTGAATTTGTAAGCTTTTTTGGAATTTTTGCTGTTGTCGCAGTTCAGCTACATGGTTTTACTTCAAAAACAGAGAACAGCCAAAAGTAAAATTCTAATTGGCAATTTAAATTTGATCATTCACTGACTGCCTTTCCAGAGTATCTCTAGTAACTGTGCATTACTAGATTTTTCAGGTGTTTAAACAAAGCATGTGTGGGTACGGTTAGCAGACGAAAATTCACGATTTTAAAATATCAGTAAACAACGTCTGCACTTGATCGTTTTCCACATAAAACTTGTAACCTTCTGAAAACGACCCCATCATCTCCCTGAACTCAGTTTATTCAACTGCAAAGGAAAAAAAAAAAGATACTATTTACCTAGCATAATATATTACTACTTGCACTGTATTCTTCATTATTTCTGGGATAAGTAAGTGCAATACTGAATCAATTTGTTTTCCAAGCAGTATTTATTGCATACCTTATACATGACAAACTGAGAAGTTTAGCTTAGTAATAATTGTGATTTCTTATCTAACTCCTACTCTGGCTTTTCTTAGAAAGCATGCTTTAAGACAGAAGGAACTGTAATTGAGTATTTCTCGTAAAGGCTGGGGATGGAACTAAGTGGTAGAGCACTTGTATAAGAGGCGTGGGGCCCTGAGTTCAATTCGAGCATGGAAATGCAAATAACTGTGAAATGTATATATGAGAAGACTGATTTGTTTGCCCATTTGAATGCATTAGCAACTGCCTTTCCCTTGTGTACTAAGCAGAAGAGGAAGAAGAGAATGACAGCAATGTCAACGTACATGGTGGTTTCACAGATGAAAATGATAACTATATAAAATACTAATTTCTCACTTAAGATTAGATTCATTTTCTTCCTCTTTACTTTTTTGTCTGCTCACATCCTAAAGTCAGTTTGAGGTCTACAAACAAACGCTCCCTGGCACTTGCTGCCGGTTGTGGAGAAATCCCACTTATTTCCTTAAGTGTTTCTCTCTTTGCTTCTATACTTAAGTTTGTGAGCACTATGCTGTCCTGTTGATCAAGTCAGCGGTGGAGTTCATGGCATACATGACCTGGAGAGGCTATGGAGAATGCTGAGTCCCTGCTGGAAACAAACTCAGAAGATTAAGCTAGAGAAAACTTGCTTTAAGAATAAGATGTTCAATAAAGAAATTATAGGTCAAGAGGCTCTTATTGCAAGGTTTTATTTAATTTTTTCTTCTCTCATACATTACATCCCCGACCACAGTTTCCCCTCCCCCTGCCTCTCTACCCCATCTCCCCTTTCCCACAGAGTCACACCCCCTCTGTCTCTCCTCTGTAAAGAGCAGGCCTCCCAGTGACATCAAACAAACACAGCAAAACAAGTCACAATAAGAGTAGCTGTGGTGGTGCATGCCTTTAATCCCAGCACTCAGAGGCAGAGACAGGCGGGTCTCTAAGAGTTCGAGGCCAGTCTGGTCTACAAGAGCTAATTCCAGGTTAGGCTAGAAAGTTACAGAGAACCCGTCTCAAAAAAGAACAAAACAAAAACAAAAACAAAACAAACAAAAAAACAAAAAAGAGTAGTCATGGGGCTGGAGAGATGGTTCAGAGGTTAAGAGCACTGACTGCTAGTCCAGAGGTCCTGAGTTCCTGAGTTCAATTCCCAGCAACCATATGATGGCACAAAACCATCTGTAATTTGATCAGGTGCCCTCTTCTGGCATGCAGACAGAACAATGTATATAATAATAATAATAATAATAATAATAATAATAATAATAATAATAATAATAAAAGAGTAGGCACATGTCATCACATCAAGGCTGGATGAGGCAACCCAGTAGGAGGAAAAGGGTACCACAAGCAATTGTTTCAAGTTAACAGGTCATTTTAAAAGAAATTATAGTGTCCCACTCCCAGTAAATGTACCAGCATATGCTGATTTTAACACAGTCCTAGAAGGACCCTGAATTTCAGGTCAAGAATCTATGAAAAGTATTTTTCAAGGGAAAGACAAAGGAAGATTTACTTGAACTGCAGCATTAGGGCTTTAGATTAACTAAGAAGTATTCAATAATTAAAACACAATCAAATGGAAAATGCATTGCAGTTTTTATAAATCAAAAAAGTCAACTTTCCCAGGACTTTAAATACAAGAAAGTTTGAGCAATAGCCCATTGTTCTATCTGTGATGTTACCAGCTTTAAAGAATGTAACGTGTCCTCTTAACCTTAAAATGATGATATGATCATCATAATGGATCAAAGTGTCATTCCCTGATGGCCCTCACATTCAGGAAACTTTTAATACTACGTCATTTGTGTCCTAAAACACAATTCTCTATACCAGGAAACTCTAAAATGTTAAAATAGCATGCCTTTACCAGCAAAACATTTGGAACGTAGATATTCACTAGGAGAAAATGAACATATGTACCCCTTTACCAATATTCTATGTAGATTACTGAATATGTGCAAAAGAAAATAAGAAAAAGGAGATGAATATAAGTAGATATTCTCTAAGTTTCCCAATGGATCCTCTTGCACATTTTGGGTATGTGCACCTCATTTTGGAGAACCATTATTCAACATCTTTGGCTAGCCAAATGCCCTTGTTGTTAGAGGAAAAAAGGAACATTTTGTTGGGGGAGAAGAATAGAGAGAGATTTAAATAAATTCCAGTGTTCCTATTTACAATGGATTGCATTATAACTGATCTTCTCTAGTTACATTATCAAGAAAAAATACCGCAAAGGCAAGAGATTGTTCAAAGTTTGCAATGTGTACAATTCCTTTAAATGTAATATGTTCCCTCCTTTGTAAAATAAATGATCACTCTTTTGCCCATATAAATGAATTTGTGGAACAAATAGAGGATGTGATAGTGAACATATTTTATTGAAGTTTGACCGTGGTAGATATTGTGCGAAGGTCTTAATTTCTTATCACTCGGTTGTTAAAACAACTCATTTGGATAGCAAGTGTGTGCATCTCACAGATGGGTATCTGTGGCTCATGGAAGTTTTGTTAAAAATTCCTCATTGCTTGGAAAGTATGGATTCTATTGTGAGGCATGTGGCAAAATGCTGCCTCTCAAACTCGAGTTCGAATTCCTTCTAACAGTAGCTTCCAGATGTTACAGATGCCCTTTAAGTAGACATTTCATCATGAACTCAACAGTAAGCTGAGTATAATGAGACATTGACATTGACCTTAAACTTGAACTACAAAGTCATCGAGGACTATGGAGCAAGGGACAAGTTAGAGATCTCACTTCAGTACTTTTACTCCAAAGATTTAATACAGATTAAACAATTCTCAGATTCTATCTTATACCTGTAAGAATGGTTAAAATCAAAAACACTGATTACAACTTATGCTGGAGAGGTTGTGGGCTAAAGAGAACACTCCTACATTGCTGGTGGGAATGCAAGCTGGTACAGCCCCTTTGGATATTAGTATGGCAATTTCTCAGAAAATTAGAAAACAACCTACCTCAAGACCCAGTAATACCACTTTTGGGTATATATCCAAAGGATGCTCAATCATGCCACAAGGACATGTGCTCAATTATGTTCATAACAGCATTGTTTGTCATAGCCAGACAACCTAAATGCCCTTCAACTGAAAAACGGATAAGGAAACTGTGGTACATTTACACAATGGAGTACTACATA